CAGGCTGCAGCTCAGAACAGCCAGGAGCTGCTTTTACAGCTGAAGGGATCCCAAGCTCTCCCTGACGTCCAGATTTTCCATGAACCACCAGAGATTAGGAGGAAGAACCTCTGACAAGGAAGATGTCCCTGGGTTCTTGGCAGGGTCAGGCTGGTGGCTGTGCCTGGCAGAAGGTGGCAGAAAGTCAGTCAGTGTCACCTCTGCCTTGGTGAGGGGCTCCAGGGCCTGAGGAAGTGTCTGTGCCCTCACAGGTGACAAGAGAGGAAGGGGACAGCCAGGTCCTGGGGGCTGGTGGCATCACCCTGGTCCCACACTGCACCTCACTGAGAATTTCTCTTCAACTTCCACTCGTGCCATTCCAACTTTGTTTAAATGCAACAGGTAGCTGGAATGACTAATGGCTGCTGGAGTGCTGAGAGAGCCATCAACCATGTTGTGTTTTCTCTGTGGGGAGTGGGTGGAAGGAAAGCTAAATTACATCTTGGGATATTAAATATAACTCTGCACATTAAACTCGGAGTTATCCATGAATCTCTTTAATGACAGCACAAGCTACTTCACAGCAGTAAAAGTCAATGTTGTCACAATTAGACCACTATTGTCTTGCAGTTAATAGACTGCTCTAATCATGACTTTGTCATATTATTAATCGCTTTTGGGTTGGACTTTTGCTAATTATCCCCTTTGGTAACTCAGTTTAGGCATTAGGAAGTCAGCAGGGACATTAAGCTGAAAGGCAGTTGGACCATATCTCTTCATTAGCTCCCATCCAGGATGAAACAAAAGGGGGTTGTGCTGAGGAGCTGCTCTCTGATCCACGGACACCGTGGTGGGAAGGGTTGGATTAACCAAGGAGTGTTTGCCCTTTCCTCAGTTTGCTTTTAGCTTCACAGTTTTAAACTGTAAACCACTGTTCCTTTGTCCTGCCCTGGGCTGTTTGTCTTTGATTTAAAGGCAGTAGGAAGTAGTGACCTTGGTAGTGTTGCAGGTTTGAACTTTTTGGTGTGGCTCAGTAGCAAGGGGTTTGGGTGTTACAAAATCAGTAAAAAACAAACCAAAAAGTCAAGTCAAAGGAGAAATGGGATTCATTTTGGGTGACATTGAGGGAATCCTGTCTTGTTTGTGCTCTTGGTGTCCCCATTGCTGCAAGCTTCAGGACTTTCCTGTGGTGTTTTGGTAACAAGTGGGATATAAAATAGGTATATAATAAATACACAAGCTCGATGGCTTATCCTAAACATATCAGCTCAAGCAGGTAGATCACAGACTCACAGAATCATGGAATATTGAGGGGTTGGAATGAACCTTAAAGATCATCTGGTCCCAAATCCCTGCCATGGGTAGGGACACCTCCCACTAGACCAGGTTGCTCAAAGTCTTGTCCTGGCTTTGAGCATTCCAGGGGTGGATCCTGTCAGTGTCCATGTCCATCCCTGTTCCTCATTGCTCAGGAGGGAGCTCTGTCACTGCTGCCCTGCAGCCAAAAGCGTTCTCCAGCCGAAGGTTCCTCGGGGAAGCAGCACTTGCTCCCAGAGGGATTCAGGCTGGAAAACAGCCATGTTAATTTGTGTTTGTAACCTTCTTCTTTTAAGCTTTATCTTTTCAATTACAAGCTGTAATAAGACCAATTTTCCAGTTTCCCCTGTGTCTCCCAAGGGAACTGGGTGAGGATGAGAGAGCAGCACTGAGTTCCACGGGACTGGGGTGAGGAAGGGCTGGAGCTGCTCTGCACTTGTACCACAGCACCTACCTGATAACAAAGTGGCAAATCACTGTGAATTTTTAAGAGGCAAACAGAACAAAACCATAATTCTTGTTGTGTTTTTCCCCGGGTGGGACATTGCTCAGAATGATGATGTGAGTCTCCCTTGTGAGCAGTTGAGATCTGAGCTGTTCCTGCATTAGACAGAGCCCTTCCTCACTGCTGGATGCAGGCACATCCCTCTTTTCCCTCTCTTCCCCAAATCTTGGATCCAAACCTTGAAAAAAGAGGATAATATCAAGCAAGGAGCTCATTCTTCCCCTGGGCTGAGGTGTCCTTTTGGGGGAACTGGCCTTACCTCCACCTGTGCCTGGAAAACCAAAGCAGCCTCTGGCCCTGGGACATTTTTCTGTTAGGTGAGGAATTATCTTGTTTTTACAGTTTCTTGTAAGTTAAAGGACATTTAAAGTGTAGCATTTTCAATACCAGATATTTTTTAGAAAGTAACAGGTCGTAGGAATTTTCAACTTCATAAGAGAAAGCTCATTAAATCAATGAAGGTCAACTCTGTCCAATTGATATTTAAGTTTAATAAGTTACAAAAATTGGAGAATTCAGTGTCATCTTCAAACAACCCAATATTCTAAGCAGGCAGATGCTTAAAAACTTTCTGTAAAATCCTGATCCCTTCCACTCGTGCTCTGTGTCAGCTGTCAGAGGAAGGAGTAGGAGGTCATGCATAAAAGTATCTGTGAATCCTGTCAAATACATTATGAATGCCAGCCCTGCAAGGAGTGACAGGAACCAGGATCTTTCTCAAGCTGGCAACAGGTTTTCTGAAAGGATAATTGATTATTTCTTATGGTTCCCATTAATGAGCCTGGTGTGCTGGCAGAGACATGCAGCCTATAAAACTCCTTGGAATGGGTGGAAATATCTTTAAAAAAGTCTTCCCTGTCACGCAGCAATTCCCAGCAGTGAGAGATTCTGCATTGCAATGATTTCCTTTGTACCAACAAAGAGGTATTTGCAAAAAGTCCAGGTTCTTGAGTTTTCTTATGAATGTTTGACACTGAGTTTCCTGGGCACAATTCCAAGATTTAGCTCAAAGGATAGCAAAGTGGAACCTCTGTGCTCTCAGCTTTGGTGAGAATACATTTAGGCAAATCTCTGAGGAAGCTCTGCTGCTGGTACAACCTTATTTATTATTGAGTAAGATAGGACCTGTTTATTCACCCCAGCAGCGATCTGTGTTTCCACCTCGGAGCTACAACAGAAAATAAATGACCTGTACAGGAGGCTGGGAAGGGAAAGAGAAATTGCAAAAACCTCTGGGTGATGTTTATCCTTCTCATCCCATCCCTTCGAGTCAAAAACCCACAGGCAGCCAGGGAGCTTTGCCTGGAGCTCCTGCTGGATTTGCTGGGCTCAGTAATTTTGTGGAAAAACAAAATCCTCCAGGATATCAGGAACAACAGATGGCTTCCAGGCACTGTGCAGGGCTGGCTTCTTCGGGTGTGGATGTCACATTTTGTGTCTGGTGCTGCCTGGAGATTTCACTTATCCCAAATTTGCAGTGCCTGCTGCACTCCCTGAGAGACCTGAGCAAAATTTGATGGTACAAATGTGCTCCTGAACACTTTGCTGTCATGGTTCACCAGTGGTGGGTTTGTTGTTTTGTTGTGATTGTGGGTTTTTTTTTTTTTCCCATAATTTAAAAATTCATCTATTTAGTCAAGATTAAAATCAAGTCTTTCATCATATTTCACAGATTTTTCTCAGCCTTAGCATCAAGACAAGGTTAGATGGGGGTCTGGGCAACTTGGTCTGGTGGAAGGTGTCACTGCCCATGGCAGGGGGTGGAATGAGGTGATTTACAAGGTTCCTTCCAACCCAAACCATCCTGTGATTCTATGATTAAATGTCTTATTACAGCTTTACAAAACTAAACTGCATGATCAAAGGGAACAAGAGGTGTTTTATGGCTCCTGTTTAAGGTAAAGCACATCAGGATTCACACTCAGAGCAGCTGTGATGCAGCCCAGAGGGGAGAAATGCTCAGGGCACCCATCCCATTCCTTGGGGCTCAGGTAGGGAATTCAAACTCACACAAAACATTTATGGTCCAGGAATAGACATAAATAGGATGGGTAAGAGGTAATGCTTGTTCCATATAAACATTTGCAGGTTTTGGTGGTTTTTTTGGTTGTCTTTCTGTCCTGACTTGCACTTGGGTAGTTTAAGGAGTGTGGCTTTACTGGACATTACAAATAACACAACCATCAAGAAATTGTCCACGAGCTCAAAGCAATCCATGATGGAATTCTCCACAATCCTGAAGCTGCAGACTTGCCTCCAGAACAAATCCTGCCTCCACCATCAGGGACTGGTATTTCTTGGAATCCTGAGCTCTCAAAGTTTTGGTCTGGATGAGGATCTGGGAATTAATACACTGCAGGAAAGGCAGCAAAAATAGCCAATGTTTTCTCTTTGTGCAGTGCTGTGAATCATTTCACAGCCTAGATGATGTGTGTATATATATATTTTTATATACACACACACATATATATATATCTGAATTTTCCATTTTTCCTGATTCGTCAGCCACACGTATGGAAGCTCTTTCCAGAAAAAGACTGAAATTCAGCACACATGAGGTAAAAGTGTCTCAGAGCATCAGAGCACACACGCAGCTCCTGTGCTGTTCAGAGTGAGGGAGGCTGTGTAGCGCTTTCTGTACAAACTCCTGCTATGTTTGGTTTCTCTGCATCAGCAGCTTGTGATTATTTTTTCCTTGGTGTTGGTATTTATTTTATATTCCCTACGGGTACATCTGGACAAGATGTGGGTGCTGATAGTACAATAACAATCCACTTCCAGGACGCTGGTAGATGGATTTTTTCATTCCTGTGCCTGAGCAGCTGTGACATGAAGCAAAAAGGCACACAGCACCGAGCTTGTTTCTATCATGGAATTGTACAGATCTTCTTGATTTCAGACTCAGCAGTTTGCTGATGCTGCAGAACAAACCAAGGATGGTATTTTATAGCCAGTTTAAGCATCAGGGTGTAAAACTTCACAGCTCTGTCCATATGGAGACACCCATTTTCTCCCCAGGTGTGTCTTGAGCCTGTCAGGGGGTGCTCACTTGGGCTTGGCTCTAAGCTAAGAGCTCTCCATTAGTTGTGATTTAAGTCAGTTTTGGACCATTTCTTCCTTTTACTTATGATCCTCTCACCATCTGTCTCTTCTTTTCTTCTTTCCCATCCCTCCCTGTCGCTGTCCTTGTCTCCCTCAGAGCTCTCCGTCAGCCTCCTTGCAGTGATAGTCATTGTGTGTGGCCTGGCCCTGGTGGCAGTGTTTGTGTTTCTCTTTTGGAAGCTGTGCTGGGTTCCCTGGAGGAACAAGGCCCTTTCCTCCCAGCTGGCCGTGCTGCGCAGCGAGGCAGGCCACAAGGACAGCATGGCAGACAAGCTCAAGGACACGGGGGCCATCAGCTTCCTGGAGGCGGCCGTCAAGATCAGCCACACCTCCCCGGACATCCCTGCAGAGGTCCAGATGTCCATGAAGGATCACATCATGAGGCGCACGCGGATCCAGAGGCAAACCACGGAGCCAGCCTCTTCTACCAGGTGAGGGATGGGGTGGGATGGGATCCATGGGGTGGGATGGGATGGGATCCATGTGGATACTGACAGCCTGGTCAGAGAGAGAAACAGATAAACTTTCCCAGGAATTGTTCTAGGGAGTTTTGAGAAAGCTGAGAGAAAGAATTAAAACAATCTTGCAGCTGGTGTTTTGAGCAGTTGTTTTCTCATAAGGCATTTACAAAGGGTGTTTCCCGAATTAGCCAGTCATGTGAGGTGTGTTGATTAAATGACCAAACAGGTCCACCTGTGTTGGAACAGTGTATAAAGAGGAGTGGGTTTATAATAAAATTATTATCAGCCTCCTGAAGAGACCTGGAGTGTGTCACTCATTCATCCATTCCTGGCTCAGTGGTGATGATGGGATGGTGTTGGATTAAGCCCTTTTCTGACCCAGAGATGGGGTAACTGAGAGGTGTTTTAAAAACTTTTGTTCTATTTTCAGTCTCCTGTGAAGGGTGAGACAATACAGATGTTAAAACTTTTTAAAATTCTCTACAAATCCATTTCCCCCAGATGGCATGGCATGGCATAGGCTGCTCAGCCTGGAGGAACCTGAGGCTGGAGTTCCTCAGGAGTTGCAGCTCCTGAGGGGCAGCTCTGATCTCTGCTCTCTGCGACAGTGACAGCACCCAGGGAATGGCTGGAGATGGGTCAGAGGAGGTTTAGGTTGGGGGTAAGGGAAAGGTTCTTCCCCCAGAGGGTGCTGGGCACTGCCCAGGCTCCCCAGGGAATGGGCACGGCCCCGAGGCTGCCAGAGCTCCAGTAGAGTTTGGACAGTGCCCTCAGGGATGCACAGGGGCATTGTTGGGGTGTCTGTGCAGGGATCAGAGTTGGACTGGATGATCCCTGTGAGTCCCCTCCAGCTCAGGATATTCCATTATTCTGCTGGGTGGGGCTGAGGTGCTCAGCAGGGACACTGCTCTGTGAGCAGCTGGAGAGATGGGAGGATTGTTGGATGGAGCCAGAGGTTCAGACAGCATCAGTGGGACTAAAGAGAGCACCTACACAGCAGATTACTGTCCAAAGCTTGGCCATTAACCAATGAATGTATTAAGACTGTGGCTCTTTTAAAAAATCAGGGATTTGAGCCCTGTTACTGCAACTTGACCTCATTGTGTCAAGTCACCCGCAAGCTTTGGCCACTTTAATTTTGTTCCAACATGAGAGGCAGGCTGAAGTATCAATGATGTACCCTGTCAGACAGAATTAGACCTTTTGACTCTCTCTCTCTCTTGTGGCTCCTGGCAGAAACAATTAGATCAGCACAATTGATGGATCGCTCGCTGCACAAGCCCTGAACCAGCTGTGCTTGGTGCTTGTGCTCAGATGGGGACAGAGACATCAACATCATCCTCAGGAAGTCAGGGAAAGGCTGTGTGAACCTTGAGACTCTCTCAGCTTGGACACTGAGGAGAGATTTAGATTGGATGTTAGAAAGGGGTTCTTTACTCAGTGTGGGGTGAGGCCCTGGCACAGAGTGCCCAGAGAAGCTGTGGCTGCCCCATCCCTGGAAATGTCCCAAGGCCAGATTGGAGCAACCTGGGATAGTGGGAGGTGCCCCTGCCCATGGCAGGGGGTGGAATGAGGTGAACTTTGAGACTCCTTTCCAACACAAACCATTCTGTGAAATGCAGCATCTCTCCTTGACACAGAAGGAGGTGAAACAGGGACAGGAAAGAGGGATCACAGGGTCCTGGCTGCGCCCCAGCACTTCTGTTTGCCTTGCTGGCCATGCCTGGGATGTGCGCAGGAGTGTGACAGGGAAATCAGGCACTGCTCAGAAAATTGGCTGCACTTTTGCAGGATTAGTGAGGCACTGATGGCAGCCCCCTGTTTGAAGGAGCTGAGTTAGATCAGCACGGTGCCGCCTGCATTTGTGAGCCACACTCTTTTATTTATCCACACTGCTTTTTGGGCAGCTGATTCCCTCTCTGCATGCACACTCTCCTTCTGCTTTTATTACACCTTTCCAACAGAGGAGAAAAAAACCCTCAGCCAGTCTGAATTAGGACAAACAAAGTGGGACTTAGCTGTACGTGGGCAGGTTTCAAACACACTTTCTCCTTGGCAGGTTCCTCTGATTCACAGCCCAGCCTAACCCTCTCCAAAATACCTCTGAGGAGCCTGCCAAGGTCTCCAAGCACCACGTATCACTGAAGGCTAATGCTCTGGCTGTAGAGTTTTTAGTTTGGTTAAATAACTCTATAAACTGCTCTTGTAAACACCAGATAATCTGAAATAATGCCCTCAGTCCACAGAAAGCTTTTATGCTTTGTTCAGATAAAGCTTTGCTTACATACAGCTTGTGCTGGAGGAGAGCTCAAGGCAAGAGACTCTTCCTGACGAGGCTGTGCCTCCCTCCCTGTCAACAATTATCTATCAGTGTCTGATGAGTCTGTTGGAAAAGTCTGGAAGCAGCAATACCCAGCAAAGCCAGACTGGACAGGGCTTGAAGCAAACTGGTCTAGGGGAAGGTGTCCCTGGCTGTGGCAGGGGATGCAATGAGATGAGCTTTAAAACATTCTGAACCCAAATCATTCTGTGGTTCTACAAAGAAAGCCTCACTTTCTGAACTGGTTGTGGTTCTCTCACCAAAAGTAAAAAGCCAAAAAAGGGCTTTTTTTTTCTTTTTTTTTGTCTGGGAGAGCTTAGTGCCAGTATCTTGGAAGTGTAAGGACTGAGGTGGGGAAAGTCTCCACATGTCTGTGGTTTGGGTAAGGACTTGTTGGGATCCATCTGTTCAGCTATGGGCTGTGACTCGGGCCACAGCTGAGAAAACACAGCTTCTGGCAAATGCTCTGGAATTTAAGAAATTTGCTGGATTGGTTCCTTGCAGGTTTTTTGAGGTGTTCCCCTCTGTTCACCTCCGTAACACACCTGGTTTCAGTGCAGAGCTCAGGAGCACCTACAGAACTCATTCTGTGCTGTTTTTTGAGTCCAGGGGCGAAAACAGGACATGAAAGCCATGTCCTTGGAAACCCACCCAGCTGTTGGTGTCTCCCTCCTGCAGGCACATCTCCTTCAAGAGGCACCTGCCCCGGCAGATGCACGTGTCCAGCATGGACTACGGGCTGGAGCCGCCGGCCGTGGCCGAGCAGCCCACCAGCATCGGCCGCATCAAGCCCGAGCTCTACAAACAAAAGACCGTGGACAATGATGACCCCAAGAAAGAGGCAGAGAAAACCTGTGGGAAAATCAACTTCACTCTCAAGTACGACTACGAGAACGAGACGCTGACTGTCCGAATTCTCAGGGCTTTTGACTTGCCAGCCAAAGACTTCTGCGGCAGCTCGGATCCCTACGTGAAGATCTACCTCCTGCCCGACCGCAAGCGCAAGTTCCAGACGCGGGTGCACAGGAAGACTCTGACCCCCACCTTCGACGAGTCCTTCCACTTCCCCGTGCCCCACGAGGAGCTGGCGAGCAGGAAGCTCCACCTGAGCGTCTTTGACTTTGACAGGTTCTCCAGGCACGACATGATTGGAGAAGTTATCTTGGAGAACCTGTTCGAGGACTCGGACCTCTCCCGGGAGACTTCCATCTGGAGGGACATTCAGTACGCCACCACGGTGAGTAGCTGCTGGGCAGGGTGGGGCTTCTCCACAGGGGTAAATCCTTCATGGATCCCAGCTGATGGGTTCCTCACCTCCTGTTAGCCCAGGGAACAGCAGCCATGGCCTGGCTCTCTGCCATGTGTACATGGGATGCCTTGGAGTGGCTACCTAGGACAGAGGCTAGACAGATTAAAGAGAATAAAGTGGGTATTTATTAAAGACCTTCAATATATCTATTGAATTCAGTATATCTATTGACATCTGTATCTATTTGACTGCCCACCTTGGGCAGTCAAAAGCCTGGCAGAGACTACACCCAAGGTAGACAATGGCCACGAGTTTCTAAGACAGATAAAAGTTTGGTCTGTTTGCATGTCAGGGGTTAATTGTCCAATTATACCATCAGGTAACTAAGTCATATTCCCCTGGTTTGCTTCTGCCCCCCAATTCACTTTTGTTTATAATTTTGGGGCCTGAGGCAGAGGGTGACCTTGGTTCTCAGGCCTGGAAGAATTGTTTTGTCTGACAAAAATGTGAAGAAAGCTTACTAACACTCTATATGGAGCTCAGAGTTCTACACTAATGCAGTACAGGATCTGAAAAATATAAAAGCTGAAAACTTAAGGCACACATGATCTCAGTAAGGAAGAGCTCTGCAGGGCCAATACCAGCCCCTTGGTACTTAAGACACACATGATCTCAGTAAGGAAGAGCTCTGCAGGGCCAATACCAGCCCCTTGGTGCTGAGAGGTGCTGGATGTGCTGCTGGCAGCTCTTCCAGAGCTGGATTTGGGTCTTTTAATAGTTCTATTGAATTCCCTCTGGAAAAGAAACCAAGCTTCAGAGAGGAAAAGTCCCAGCCCTTTCCATGTCACAGGGAGTTGGCAGGAGAAGCCAAGTGCTCACATTGATCACTGAGTGCAGAGCAGGGACATTAACCTCTCCATAATAGCTGTCTGCTCCTCCACTGCCCTCCCAGGAGGATCTGGCTGGTCCTCAGGGCGAATGAATGATTGAACTGCTCTGCAGCTGGACACTAAATCAGCCATTGTCATTGTCATTTCACATTGTTATTCCTGAGACTGAAAGATGAGACATCCCCACCCCTGTGGCTGGAAGCGTGGGCCCTGTCACATCATTCCTGGTGACTGGCAGAATGCCACAACTTGCAAAAATCTGTCCTGCAGCTTCCCTCATAGCTCATCTCATACCTTTGTTCCCTTGCTTTCTGTGCTGAGGAGGGAACTGTCAAACACAAATATTTACTGTGGCCAGCACTGCCACAAGATATTTGCTTTGTAACTCTGGTGCTTTTTTTCTCAGCACCGTGTTCCCCACAAGCTGAACCTCTTGGTGACTTCCACCAGTGCTCATTCTCCTGCTGCAGGGTGTCCAGAACTTTCTGACAGCTCTGTGAAGCCCAGCAGGCGTGCACAGCCCTGTGTCCTGTGTCCTGTGCCCAACAGGGTCCCAGGGCACTCAGGGGACACACAGCACATCGCCCTGGAAGGTGGCTCAGGGGCTGGAGCTGTCCTGGGAGGGCACGGAGAGCTTTGGCCCTGCCAGCCTGAGGACACAGGGGTGGAGGTGGTGCCTGCCAGGCACCCTGGGGCAGCACTGGGAGCGTGCTGGGAGCTGCTGCTGTGCTGCCTTTTGAGCATCTTGCCTGGGAGGGGTGTGGGAAGGAGGCACAGGATCAACCATGAGGAAAGCAACAGTTGGAGTTAGCAGGGTGCTCACAGCTCTTGGCTTCCAACCTGCAAACAGCCACGGCTGTTGTGATTGATGGGTGGTAATGAAAGCAGAAATGCTGGCAGAGAGGCAAGCAGGCACCAGGCACATCCTTCACCCAGAGAGGGGCTGCTGGAAGGGGAGCAAAGTGCACCTGGTGTGCTGATGCCTCCTGCAGGAACCTGCCTGTTGGTTCTGCAAGCAACAATGGATGTTTTCCTGGCTAAATAATCTCATTTAATGGGGGAAAACTCCACAAAAGCAGGTGGAGATACACCAGCAGAAGGGCTGTTAAAGGCAGAGCCTCCAGAGAAGGTGTGAGGGGAGCAGAGCCAACCCCATGCCCAAGGTGTGCAGAGCAGGAGCCCGACAGAGCTGCCACAGACACATCCAGCACCATGTTTGGCCCATCCCCTTGTTCTCTCCGTGCCATTCTTAAGGAATGTGCTGCTCCTGGAACATCTCAGCCAACTGCAGCACACCCAAGGACATTTCTGTTTAATCAAAATTGAGAAGGGTAAATACAGTTTGCATAAAACCCCAAGAAAGCTCTGGGTGCCTAATAAAGCATGAGATCAATGGTGTGGGTAAGAGGGTAGGAACACACTTAAGAACTGATCTGCTCAAGTAGCCAGCACTCAGCTACTTAATTAATGACTGTACAGCTTGTGAATCAGGGAAACATCTTTGGTTTCAAGTCTATTGATTCAGAGCTTCCATTATTTCCTAAAAGGTACTGATATGAATTTTGGAAATGTCCCAATGTCTATAATCTGCAAGAAAATAATGTACCCACAGGACACGCTTTGCTCTCTTGTATTTATGGTTGCAAAGAAAAATCTCTTGACCTGATACAATGAGGTCAAAGAATAAATTATGTTCATTTTATACCCTGAACGGATCCTCTCAGTGCAAGGAGAGGAATAGAAGATGAGATAGTGTCCAGAGGGTGCTCTCACCATCTCACACAGGGCTGCTCTCTTCTGACATCTTGTCCAAGGTCTCCTGCCCTCGTCCCTCCCACACCAACTAAGAACAAAGAATGCATGAAAGAACAGACCCAATCAAAATTTTATGTAATATTCATTAGTATTCTGCACTTCTAAGTGGAATAAAGATTTAATCTTTGCCTTACCTGAGAATGAGCAGGAAATAATTTGGCAAAAACCTCATCCATCAACAAGATCTATTCCCCTAACACTTAGCAAAGCTTTAAGTGCATTTACTTGTCTTTCTGGTTCCATCACTCTACTCCTAACAGCCACAATTTCTCTTCAGCAGATCATTATATCACATTGAAAGGAATCAAACACACTGTTTCCCAAAATAAATGGGTTGTTTGCTCTACAGATGTGGGATCTGTATGTAGAAAATAAGATTTTTTTTAAAATCCATTTTTAGAAGGTATTTGGAAATCTTTCTGCTGACTTCGGGTGATGATGCTTTCTAGTTTAAATCAGACATTTGGTTTGTTTATTTTTCCCTGACTTCCCAGGGGCAAGGCCATGATGGAAAGGGCTTTTAGGAGGTGTAGTCGATGAAGCTGCAGGTACAAGAAGTGCTAAGAGCCATAGATAAAAGTTATTTGATGGGGCACTAAAAGAGTAAATTGTGTTGGCTTCTGTGTAATCCTAAAGAACCAAACATTTCTGAGTGCCATCTGCTGGTTAATTCCCCATTTATGCTCACAAACACACAGCCCCATGCTGTGCCAGCTCCTTGAGGGCATCTCAAAGGGCTTGGTGGTCCAAATGTAGAATTGTCACAAAATAAAAACTCAACAGAACCTTCTTGCTTGCCTTCTGTCTTAAAGTTTTACCCCCCAGTTGGTAGTGCCTAAAAACTCACACTCACCTTCAGAGAAAACCACTGTGTTACTCAAAAACATTTTCATTTTATGCAGAAATGTTGGGCACTGTCAGTCACAAACCTTCATTACTGAATTCATCCCTGCCCACGGCAGGGGGTTGAAACTAGAATATATTCAAGTTCTCTTCCAACCCAAACAGTCTGTGATGTTATGAACTGATGGCACTGGCTGTCACAGAAAGTTTCTGTGACACCAGTAGATTTCTGCAGTGCACAACTGGAGAACACGGCACCACTGCATGTCAGGAGCTCATCTTTCTGTCACCTCACTGTGTTTGTCACACTCCTGGAGGAACCAGGCACCGGAGACGTGTACAGTACATTCAAACAAGACTTGATACTAATTTGATTTCCTCACTGCATTGATTTGGTGTGAGATATCCCATCTCCTCTGTGTGAGCCGTGGAGCAGGACTGCTGTGCATTGGCTGTGCATAGCTGGGAGGTTGAATTAGGAAGCACAGACTCCACTGAGCCAGAGGAAGATTGTCCTTAACTAAGATGTGAAGGTGTAACCTATTTTTCCTGTTCTCTGTATTCATTTTTAGTCAAATCGTGTTGGGGTGCACTCAAATCAAGTAAAATACCCTTTGCTACAAATGGCAGAGCAGAGGAAATGCTGGGGTGGAGGAGGAAGCACCTGGCTGGTTCTGCACGTTTCCAATAAAATCTGTTCTCTGCTTTATTGAAGGAAAGCGTGGACCTGGGCGAGATCATGTTTTCCCTTTGTTATTTGCCAACTGCAGGTCGCCTCACCTTAACAGTCATTAAATGCAGGAATCTCAAAGCTATGGACATCACTGGTTACTCAGGTGGGTGTTTGGTGGCTGAGGAGGACCCCCCTGCAGCCACATCTCCTCCTCTTCCCTCGCTGTACCCTCAGTAGATGGTGGGTGAACCATCCCAGGAATACCTGAGAAAGCTTTGTCTGTGTTTCAAGTGCAAACACAATTGTTAAAGTAAGCAATTTGTCGCTCGTTCCCCATCCCACTGGAGGGTTTGCAGGGTCAGAGCTCTGATCCATCTCTTGGCCTGGACACTTAGATCTCTTGGAACCTTTTATAGCCAGAATCAACTCTTTCACCCCAAGATCAGGAAAGGATCATGACCCACCTGGATAAATCCCACTGGAATGTGCACTCCCCTGTGCAGTGGCCAGTAGTCAAACCTGAGGAGCACAGCCACCCAAAAACTGTTTGCATTTGCAGTTTCAAAGAGCTGACTTGCAAATTTAACATGCATAAATTCTGGTTTTCATCATAAAATCCAATTTCTTTTCCAGACACCAACTTCAGAGTATTTGAATTTCATTGTACAAAAAGCAGTAACAACAGAGACCTTTGCAGAAAATGTTTCTGCTCAGCTGGAGCTTAATGCCATATGAAATGTCTGAGAATTGAGACTTCAGGTGAAGCCAGCTCAGCCTTTCAGCAATAATAATAATAATGCAGTGCTGGTTCTCTAAGTGCTGGTGCCTGAAGTTCAGGTCACCACCCACACCAGTATGAGAAATGGAGGATTTTACTGGTCTGCAAATAAACTTTTTTCTAAAAGTCCATTTGAAGAGCACCTCTGGCTCATGGGAACTCACAGCCCATCCTCTGATAAAGCTGTTTCTATATTGCAAAAGTAACAAAACACATTTTCATCAACAAAAGGTCTTCTCTCTCTTCCTCCCTAGATCCATATGTCAAAGTGTCTTTGCTCTGTGACGGGCGAAGACTGAAAAAGAAGAAAACCACCATAAAGAAAAACACACTTAATCCCACCTACAATGAAGCAATAATCTTTGACATTCCCCCCGAGAACATGGATCAAGTCAGCCTCCTTATCTCTGTCATGGATTATGATCGGTAGGTGGGAGGCTTTGGAGAGCTGGAGGGGAGAGCATCCCATTGGGTGCAGATTTTCCAGCTCAAATGCAATTTTCCACAGTGTTTTCCACAGCCTCGATGGCAGAGCTCAGTGGTATCCACCTGTCTCTGCTGATATATTGCTACAGTGACATTGATATTTATGGTTATGGAAAAATAACGAGTTTGGCAAGGCTGGTCCTTGCTTTATGGCATTTCCTTGAGCAAGTGCCATTTCCCCTTGGTTATTTATTGTCCTGCAACCCATTTTAGAAAGCAAATAATGTCAGCCCGAGCAGCACTGGGTGTATGAATTATGAATTACTGAAGCTGGGGTTATTCTTGCTGTAGAGCACTGCTCACACCTCTGTGTCTGGGCTGACCTGCAGAAATAATTTAAAAGCTGCTGTAATTGCCTGTGGTGATGGCAGGGCTGGGGCACACACCACAGCCCAGGCTCACCAACAGCAGGGTCCAGGCTTTGCCTGGCCAGGTGTGGGCAGCCGGAGGGATGGATGGATGGATGGATGGATGGATGGATGGATGGATGGGGGATAGATGGATGGATGGATGGATGGATGGATGGATGGATGGATGGATGGGGGATAGATGGATGGAGGGATGGATGGATGGATGGATGGATGATAGATGGATGGATGGATGGATGGATGGAGGGATGGATGGATGGATGGATGGGTGGATGGACATCAGCAATAGGTAGGTGCATCCCTGCATCCATTCATTGGGTGGACAGATGGAAGGATGGATGAATGGAGGGAGAGAGGGAGGAAGGAAGGAAGGAAGGAAGGAAGGAAGGAAGGAAGGAAGGAAGGAAGGAAGGAAGGAAGGAAGGAAGGTAGGTGATGGTGCTCCTCCTCTGCCGTTCCTCAGGGTGGGCCACAACGAGATCATCGGGGTTTGCCGCGTGGGGGTCAACGCCGAGGGGCTGGGCAGAGACCACTGGAACGAGATGCTGGCCTACCCCCGCAAGCCCATCGCCCACTGGCACCCGCTGGTGGAGGTGAAGAAATCCTTCAAAGAGGTGTGTGGGGTGTCCTTCCCTCCCAGTGCCTGTGCTGGGCGGGACTGGGCTGGCTCCAGGCTTTCAGAGAGCTCCTGCTCTCGCCTGGGATTTTCTGAGCAGAGCTGAGGGAATTTTCTCACCAGAAATGAACTCTAGAAAACAAGCACTTCTGTATTGCCTCGAAATAGCTCCTTGAGCTTGCAAGCAAGACTGAGAAGAACTGTATTTACAGATGTGACTGTTACATTTTGGGTTTTTTATTTTCTTTTTCTTTTTTTTTTTCCTTTTCCTTTTTAAATTAGAAATTGAGAGCAGTAAGGAAAGAGAATGCTGCTCTGATTGCAGAACAAATTGTCCAGGGATATTGCCTATTTCAAGTTTCAATTTTTCATCCTAAAAGATTTTTCTGTTGACTCATCTCAGCCTTTGAGGGAGAATAAATAGAACAAATGTAATTGCTCTAAGCATCTCCAGAGAAAGAGATTGACTTGATGCAGCCCCAGATGATAAAATAGGGCTGAAATGCCTGGGTACCATTTTGACCATCTCTGGCATTTTCTTCCCCCTTGCACTCCAATTTCTCACGCTTCTGTGGAGCTCTTTGCCTTTGCCTGATTTAGGTCATAATTTCTGGAGGACAGAGATGTGGAAAAGGGCACACACGCCTTTGACACTTCAAGTATGAGAACAAAGCACCAGCATTTGAGGCCAGTGATACGATAATAAAGGCAATAAAGCCTCCCACTGTATCTGGGGCTGAGGAGGTATTTTCCCCTCAAAGCCACAGAATAAGTACTTAACAAAAAGCATCTCATTTTCCCCTTGAAGCTGAGTGCTGAGCTGTGCTGAAAGGCAGACATTGAGCTTGCTGACACTCCACAGTAGTGAATTAGTGTATAAACCCCGTCTTTCTTTGAAATCTGCCATTTTCTCCAAAAGGAAGGGGTGGGGAGGCTCTGGCACAAGGTGCCCAGAGCAGCTATGGCTGCCCCATCCCTGGGCCAGGCTGGATAGGACTTGGAGCAACCTGGGATAGTGGAAGGTGCCCCTGCCTGTGGCAGGGTGTTGGAACTGGATGATCTTTAAGTTCCTTCCCAACCCAAACCACTGCATGATTAAGAAGTCAGTTTGTGCTCAGTGCCCTCTGTCCCAGCCCAGGTTGGTTACACACAAAGGAAAACCTGGCAGTTGGTAATTTAGCTTAAGACACAGTGGAGGTGGATATATCAGACAATGGACACCTGAAAATTCACCCTCCCTTGTTTGAGGTGATCTGTGAGCTCACCTTGAATCAGCACAGGGATCAGCTGTGCAGGGCTGGGGTGAGTCAGAGCAGAATTAAACCCTTGTGCAATTTGTGTGCCGTGCCAGCTCAGCCTTTGGGTGTTGAGCAGCACCAGGACTTCATTCCCCTTCCCCTGCTGGCCCTGGGCAGGCTCTGTGTGTCACCTCCCACTGCCACGGGGAGCTGGGGACCAGCAGCCACAAGGTTCCAGCAGAAATGGAATTGATCTCTCATTTAGTCTCTTGGCATCTGTAGCACCTCACAGTGTGACACAGCTGCCGTGGCTGACCCAGGAGCAGGAGTTCCTTCTCCAGGCTCCAATTTTTATGGCTTTACTGCACTATTTTTCAGATGCAGGTGGGCTTTTGAAAGAAAAACTGTAAAGTTTTTGAAAATCACTAAGAAAAAAGTAAAAAAAAGGCATTATTGTTATGATGAAACACAAAGAAACCAAGGAAGACATGGAAGATGACTCACCTTCTAAAATATACTTTGAAAACCATGGCTGAGCCCCCAAGACTCTGGAAAAAAACTGAGTGAATCATTTCACCCCTCAATGCACAGGTCAGGAGCTCTGCTTAAAAGGAAAGAAAAAGCCCTCTGATCATCTCTTCTGGTATTTCTGCCACAAACTGGTGCAGAGGGCCAGTAAGCAAATGGTTCTTGTGTTTATTTGCCCTTTTAGGTTTTAGCACTGCTGTCTGCAAATCCCCAGTGCAGCCTAAAAGAAAAACCAAACAGAAAAGGCACAGGCTCCTGGAGAGAAATTAATGGGAAATGGTATTTGTTGGTTACAAGACATTGTATCATCTTTTCCATGTTGTTTTTGGGTATCTTTGAAAAGAAATCTGGGGTTTTGGTTCTGTAATCCCAGCTCTGGGTCTCTGTGCAGCTGCTCCATCCTGCTGCTGGCTGTCTGTCCATCTGTCCTGAGCATGCTGGGGGACAACTGCTGGCCCTTCGTGCCTTCCTCACCTTTGTGGGGGTGAACTTGGGCTGTGCTGGCATCCTGAGCCCTCATTTCCATCTTCCTCTTTGTCTTCTTCATCTTCCCCTTCATCTTCTTCCTCTCCCAGCCATTTGTGCCAGGCAGCAGCAAAGGGAGCGTTTGCTTCCCGGCTGATCCTCGTGATGGTCTCTGTGTGCTCTGACCATCAGTAACAGCCTCTGGCTCCATCCAAATCTTCCCTGATTGAGTGCTTGACCTCAAACCAAGGCGAGGGAGCTGGGATTGAATTGTCCCTCTGATGTCTAAATGGAGGGATGGTGACTGGAGCTGCTCCAGGCACTGCCATCTGCCCTTGCTGTGACTGGGGTCCCACCCCCCTCCCCACCCCTCAAGGGGGAGGAAAGTGTGGGAATATAGAATTTCTTTGCTAACCAACACCCTGCCTGGTGTGCCTTGGAAAAGCTTTGGCCAGGAGAATGAGCTCCCACCATATTTTGACTACAGCTCAGAGTCACAATTTCTGGTGCATTTACCAGGAAAATGTCACCAGAGCTGTGCTGCTTCAAGAGGATGGCCCAGCTCTGAGCCCTTACCCTGCCACAGCAGGGATGGATGGATGGATGGATGGATGGATGGATGGATGGATGGATGGATGTGTCTGTGGTGTTGGACCAACAGCCTTCTCTTGTGCTAGGCCACGATTCTTTGTCCACCATGAGGACCTGGGCAGCTCCAGCCTGTCCCAGCAGCCACAGTGCTGGGCTAACATGGCCCAGCCTCTCATTTCTGTGCCAACAGCCACTTGGGCCCTTCCTCCACGAGCTGGTGCCGCTCCCTCTTTTCTTTCACTGCTGGAAAAGGCTCCAGTGAAAAGGGAAACACTTCGGATGCACATCATGCCTTTGGTTGCTCCATATTTATCAACAGTGAATAACAAACCATAATGACTGCACTTCTCTAATGACCATCATCATTACAGAGGGAACATGGAGAACATGTGCAAATGAATCATTAATTACAGGCTTTTAAGCGCTATCCTCCTCACACAGATGTTCAGAAGGCGAGTTTCTGAGCAGGAAGGGAGAATCCCTCTTTGTGGGGTTATTCTGGCAGTCAGTTCTTCCCCTCAGCACAAGCTGTTCCCAGTGTTCAGCCCCGAGACCCCGCTGGCAGCTGATCCCTCCCCGGGTCCTTCAGCCACCCCCACCCGTGTTCCTCCTGCATTCCTCCACCCATCAGCCAGGTTCAGGGGTGTGTGCACAAAGGGAAACAGAAAATTCCAGCTCGTTATTCCAGGATTTAAAGGGAACTTCTGAAAATGGGGATTTTCCCTGGGATCTGTGAAAGACAAACCCTGGAATCGCGGAGTCGCGTCATCAGCGCGATGAAAAACGGGTCTTTGATGCTGCCAAGTGCCTCTGACATTCAACATTTATTTGTTTAAAACATTGCTCCAGATAAAAACTGGTAACTCTCCTGAGAACCAAGTCATGCCCATAATAAAGAATAATCATTTGTCTTTAAAGATAAGCCCTTCCAGATGTCTGGGCCTGTTTGATTTTGATTGAACTGGTCCCAGTTTCTGACTGTTGGCTACACAATGCATGGCTCACCTTTTCTAATTAAATGAAGGAAAAGTATCTCCAGGTTCTTCTTTGGTTATTTAGACCTATCCTTGGAAGAGTTTTGATCACATTTTTGGAGTAGCAATGCTGTCATTGTCATGCAGACAGCACGAGGCAAAGAGCATGGGGAAGGCTCTGCCAAAAGCCCATTTCTGTTCTAATTTCTGCAATCTGTTCACTGGCAATTCTCATGGGGAGGTTGTACCCATATTATCAATTCCTCAGGGATTTTAGACAATTTTTTCGACATGAGAAACATAGAGGGAAGTGTTTCCTTACCTTAAGGCAGCTTTTTGGCAGGACAAGTTTCTCATCGTCTTCTTTCATTAATTTCTGCTCGGCCCTTCTGAAATACAGGCAGTTCCATGCAAACCATGCAGTGAGTTACTTTACACTGACTGGTCTCTCTGGGGAAGGAAATTGGCCAAATTGGCCCAATTTTTGACCACTCCAAACCCATGGAGCATCTGCAAGGGCCTGCTTGCCCTGCTCAGCCTCCCTGTGGGCACCAGGCTGCTCTTGTTCTCTTGCTTTCATTCAAGATGGTTTTTCCAAGGCAAGGGTGAGGTCTGGTTCCCCAAGTGAGTTTTCACCCAGAAAAATGAAATCCATACATGCTTAAACATTAATATCAGGCAGCAAAGAGTTTCTGCTGAGGTGGGAGGGGAGGGAATTGATCCAGGCAGTGGAAATCCTGACTCCCGTTGTCCCTGGGAGATGTTTATCATTTGTCACTGGAATTTAATATAACAAGATGGTGAGATAGGCAAGTGCTCAAAAGCTTCAGGAATAATGGGTTTGAATTATGATAATAGCCCCCAAGGCAGATGACAAATAATTTATGATCCCCTAAGTATGGCAAAAAAAAAAAATGTTTGCTCCATCTACTGAGTCTCTGATCTGATTTTCCCTTTGAGAAATGTCTCTGGTGCTGTGGACAGAGCTGCTGTGGAGTAAAATTACCAGACTGGAAAGACTCAAGTACTTCTGAGCTTAGACAGTATTTTTAAACCAAAAAGACAACAGCAATAAAGCAGGGAAAAGCTGAGAGCACTTTGTCTTCACAGCACACACAGACACTGTTTATTTTCCTTTTTTTTTTTTTGTGAGGAATCCTCACAATTGGGAATTGATTTACAAAGCAATAAAGTAAATTGTTCAGCAATTCCTCCTGAGTGGTTAAACATGGGCATTGCATAAATTGGAACTTGTAGAGCAGAAGAGAGCACAGCAGGGCAGGAGCTGGGCAGGGGTGGGATGGATAGGATGGGAAGGGATGGGATGGGATGGGATGGGATGGGATCCATGGGATGGGATGGGATGGGATGGGATGGGATGGGATGGATGGATGGGATGGATGGATGGATGGATGGATGGATGGGATGGATGGATGGATGGATGGATGGATGGATGGATGGGAATCCTGAGGAAAAGGAGGTGGCCAACACAATGCAGGATTGGGAATAATCCCAGACAATCTCTCCTGTTGGATTAACTTGGTTTCTCCTTGTCCCCAGTGGCACGGCCGGGCAGCGAGCTTCGACAGCCAGGGCTCCTGTCCCTCCCCCAAACCACCCCCCACACCGTGATCCGGAGCAGGGACAGCAAAATGGGACTAAACCAAGTAATTTTTGCACTTGGCCTTCAGTCTCAGTGGTTGCTGAGGGGCGGTGGCAGCAGCGGGACTTTCCGGTCTAGTTGTTCCTGCGTAAGTAAAGGTAGAAACCCGTTTTGTGGTCAAATATGTTTTTGTCTAATATGTCTCCCAAGGTGATGTTATTTTTGTGGTTTTTGCTGCACGGATCTGTTTCCAGAAGGAGAAGGTGGACTGAGACATGTGCTGGGAGTTGGTCTGTAAAATAACGTGTAAAATAGTTTTTAGTGTGTGCAAAGGCTGGAAAGGGGTGAGGAGGTGTCTGCAGAGAGCAGAGGTGGCCAGGACAGGGGACAGGGGACAGTGGCCACTGGAAAGCTGTGGCAGAAGATGGAAGAGACTCTTCCAAGCCAGCAGCAGCTCCATCCTCGTGGTCAGCCCCAGCCCGGCAGAGTGTCCCCGGGTTTCCTGTTCATGTAGAGGTGTCCATGAGCTCTTAGAAGTTTGTGCAGTGTGTACCCCATAATTCCTTTTGTCATATATAAAAAAAATGCTGTTGATTCCTCAGGAGGTGAACCCTGGGTTTTTTCCCCTGTATCTGAAATCTCCCCAGAGCTATTTGCATGAACAGTTTCTTCAGCCCCCTTTGTAGCTGCTGCTCATCCCCCAGGACATCCCCACGTTATCTGGAGTGGAGGGAACGGCGTGGCCACAGGTGGGATTCAGAACAAAAAGGGGAAAATGTTACAAAAATGGGTGACAGCCCTGCATGAGCACGGGGTCTCTATTTCTTATCTCATCCAAGTAATGAAGGGTGACCCAAGGGGCAAAGGAAAATACAGAAACATGACTGATGCTAAAAAAAGCTTCCAAACTTTTTTTCTAAAGACTGTCAGCACTTTCTTAAAGAATAAAGTTTCTCAGCCCAAGCCCTGAAGGAAGGTCAAGTTCTGGAAAAAAAAAAATGAAGCTTTGCTGGTTCCTTGGCTGCAGAGGCCAAGAATGAAGTTAGAATATTCCAAGCACTGGCTTTACAGCTAAATCAGCTGATCTTTATCAGCCAGCTGTGGATTTTGGACATTTTCTCATCCTGGATTTTTCTCTGAGTTAAGAAGTGTGTTAGTGCTGTTTGTTCCACCCTAATTAAATTAGGCAAAAGCAAATATTTTGGTTTGGAGGTGGACTTTGTGAGTGAGGCAGCCGGCTCTCCTCCCCTCAGGTTAGCAGGACTGTGCTCATCAGCCACAATCCTCAGGTCAACTCCAGTTTCCATTTTCCCAAATGTCACCACGTCACCCCTGGCTGCACATCAGGGCTGGCACAGAGGGGTGTCTGCATTGCTCCTGGGTGGGATGAATCCTTTGTTCAGTGAAGGGTAAATACATCATTCCTCATCACACCTTGTGTCTTAATTCTCTTTATGTGCCACATGCTATAGGAGCAGAAACTCAATAAAATGATTTGATTTGTAAGTGCTGCCCTGTCTGGTGGAATATTTCCTCCTGTGGGAGCAGGAATTGTGTGTTGTGTGGTTTTGGATGGGTGCAGTGATCACGGTGGGTGCCATAAAACGTGACAATGGCAGAGCCTGGCATGGTGTGGGGCTGGGCAGGGGCACACGGTGGCATTTGGGGCAGACCTCAGCTCTGCAGCTCCTGCCTGGGCTGGGACAGCCACACCACCCCAGGGACAGCCCCTGAGCACCAGCTGCAGCAGCAAAAGTGTATTCCAAGCACACTGCCAAAAAAAAAAAAGTGGTAAAACTGCATTGGTTTCCCAGCACAGAGCGTTCTGAGAGCTTCTGCTGAGGAACAAGGGGAGGACAGCCTTCCTGAGCCCATCATCCTTTCTGGGAATGTCCCGTGGTTAATTAAGGGGATGAGTTTCTGGCCATTAAAACTGATTGACTGGGTGGGTCAAACACTGGCCACGAGCCCCTGGAACCCTGGCTGAGCTGGAGGAGCCTCAGGGGAGCAGGGCAATGAGCTGGCAGTGCCTCTGGCAGGTTGGCAAACCAAAGGACAAGACATCCCCAGAAGAAGCCACAGCAGTCCCAGCTGGTGGCACTTGACAATCATTAATTGCAGCAACCCACTCAAATCCTTTTCTTCTCTAATCCAGGCTTTTTTGGTTTTGGCTTTCTCTGTATAATCTCCATCTTTTATCCATTCTCCTTGTTATCGAGGATTTAGTCAAAACATACGTGGGGTTTGACACAAAGCTGCTATTTTTAATCCTTGCTTCACACAGATAATCAATTTCCACTCAATACTGGCTGTCACTTGCATTGCTGGAAAACTGGATCTCACGTTAGTGAATAACACCCACGCCTGCTTGGCCCAACCCCCCCTTCATATATTTTAAATGCTAAGATTTTGCCACATCCCTCAGCCAGGGGATAATCAGCCCATTGTGTGTGTGTCACTGGGGGGATTGGTCACACTCATGGGGACGAGCTCCACACACCAGAGCAAACACTTCCCTTCCATCCAGGGGGGAATTAGAGCCCTGGAAAGGAGCTGAGCCCAGCACAAGTGCCATGCCAAGATTTGTTGAGTTGTTTTCTTGCTCCTCACTTGCTGCTCTTGACCCTGTAATAGCAACTCATAGAGACATTTCAATTATTTCCAAGCAAAATAAGGAGGGTCACCCCAGGGCCACGTCCCACAGGAGGCTTGGCCATGCTGGGGCTCCTTTGGAAGTCCCTGCAAAGGGGAGGATGCTGCTGCAAGCAGCCACAAATGAATAGTCTGTTTTATTGAGTAGTGCAAGCAAAATAAACACATGGAGCATTCCCAGACCTTCCTTTCATTTTTTTTTTCCTCCTTTCTCTTCAGTTTTAGTCTCCCAGGCTCCATTTCCATCAAGGACTGGCTGGCTGCAGGGAGGGGAGGGGACACTGCAGGGAGGGTGGCCGGGGTTGGTTTAATGTGGGACTCAGGGGGAAGGGAAATCCCACGGGTCCAGCTCACTGCAAGGGCTCAGAGGGCTGGGAACTGTCCCAGCCTTGCTCCCTCCCACCAAATGGACAACAAAATAAGTTGTATCTGAGAAAAAAAGGTGGAATGCATCCAGGGGGAAGCGAGTTGCAGACATGGAATTCCAGAAAGTTTTGGGTTGGAAGGGACATTAAAATCCATCTCACTCCATTCCCTGCCATGGCAGGGACACCTTCCACTATCCCAGGGTGACCCAAGCCTCATCCAGCCTGGCCTTGGGCACTGCCAGGGATCCAAGGGCAGCCACAGCTCTGCCAGGGCCTCCCCACCCTCCCGGGGAGGAATTCCTGACCAATATCCAGCCTGGGTGATATTCTCCACTACTGCCTTCCCACTGATCACATTATTGTGTCGTGAGGGTTTTCTCATACATCAGCAACACATTTGTTTGGCAAAGTGAAGAATCTTGTCATAACAATTGATATTTAGTCTCCAAATGTGGCCTTTCATTGCTAATTACAGAATGCTACTCAAAGGTTGGCAAATCACACACACCAAAAAGAAAAAGCCAGCAAGGAAGAAAACAACTGGGGCTTTATAAGGGCTTAAGAAATAAACAAACGTGGTCTTTAATTATCTTAGGGGAAAAAATAGCAGCTGAGAAATAAATGTAACTTCAGTATTGATGTTGAAGGGGGGTATGTCACAGCTGCCACAGCAAGGCTGTCCCCATGCAGGGAATCCCTTATTCTACAGGAACCTTTTGGGAACAAGAGTGGCAAAGCCCACCTGGGTGCCAGGAGCTGCAGCCAGGGACTGACATCTGGGGGTCTGGGATCACAAAGCCAGCTTGGTGGGATGCTGGGAGCAGCAGGGAGGGCAGTGCAGGGACACCTGGGACATTCCTGGATCTCTCCACTCCCAAGGGGGACACAGTGGGGACAGACACAGCTTTGTGGGCACAGGGCAGCTCCAGCTGCCCTGCCCCTCCCTGGGCTCAGCTCTGTGGCAGGAGCAGCTTTGAGTGCTTTGATTTTTGTTTTATTTCTTCACAAACCTTTTATTTACACATAGTTCTTGATTAGCCTGTAAAGAGCATTCAGTCAATGGGCTCAGTCCCAAACACATCCCAGTCCTCCTTCAGTCTTTAGTTCAAGCAATGTCAGGCCAGATAATTTTATCTTTGCTAGCAAGATAATAAATTAGACAGCAAATTATATATAGCTCATTGGAGAAAATTACAGCCCTGATCCTCGAGATCCTGATCTCAGTCCTCTGTTTGTTCTTCACTTTTACTACTTCTGTTATTTGCCCTCCTAATTGTGTCTCTAATTAGGCAACCCCAGACTTCTCAATCTCATTTTGCCAGAGGTTTTCTCCCCCAGGGGTCTCGTTGTTCTTCCTGCCATTAAGATTATCCATCAGTACAGTTGTGCACTTATTTAAATGCCAGGTCAGGATCTCATCTCTGCTGCAAGTTCCTCACTCGAGGATGTTCTCCCTGGGCCTGCAAACCCTGGCTGCCATTTCCAGGGAATCTCAGCTCCTGCATCAACAAGCCCAGGGGGCACAGGGGCTGGGATGCTCCTCCCTGTGCTGGATATCCCAGGAGAGCTGGGCTGTCTCTGCACGGTGCAGGAGATGCCAGCTGGATTAGGACAAGGTGGAATAAACTAGAGGAGAGGGGATTTAGTTTAGATATTAGGAAGGAATTCTTTCCTGTGAGGGTGGGCAGGCCCCGGCACAGGGTGCCCAGAGCAGCTGTGGCTGCCCCTGGATCCCTGGCAGTGCCCAAGGCCAGGCTGGACAGGGTTTGGAGCACCTGGGACAGTGAAGGTGTCAGGGTTGAAACTGGATGAGCTTTAAGGTCCCTTCCAACCCAAACCAGTCTGTGATTCTGTGACTCATTTGGCAATGAGAAGTGATGCAGTTTGCTCCTTTGCTGGGGTGAGCATCACTCCAAAATCCACTTTGACAAGAAGCCAGAGCTGCAGGTGAGCCTGAGAGAAGTAGAATTTGTCTCCTCTTTGCAGATGCACAGGCTTGGATATTCTGG